CCTCCCTTGCTTATGTTCTCTCTCTCTCTCTGTCTCTGCCCCTCCCCTGCTTGTGTTCTCTCTCTCTCTCAAAATAAATAAGTAAACATTAAAAAAACCTTAATGTACTTGTTCTTAATTCCCCGGGAAAATTTCCCGAGACAGACAAAAATCATCCTTTTAAGTCCTTTTTGCTGGTAAGTTGTAACAGAATCAACATGAATTTAATAAATTCAGGTCGAATAAAAGCTGATTATCTGAATTATATTTGATGCCGATACCTCCAAAAACATGTCTGTTTTAATTAAACCAACAACCTTGAATTAGCTCTGATACCTAATATGTTGCACCTGTGTCCGCTCAAAAGCCCATCCGCATACTCCTGTCAGTTTCCCCGGGGCCCCTTGTGGGCTAATCTGAGGTTGGAGCTTTAAGTCCAGGGGAGCCCTAGGCCCCCTAAAGCTGATCTGGGAGGTGCTTCAGTTTGAGCCTCATAAGGAGGTGGCCCAGCAGCGTGGGGTGCTTTTTCCTCCGAGATAGTGAGGGGTCCCGCTGGGTCGGCTGGCCACCAGCAGCTGGCTCCGACTGTGACAGCCACCAGCTCAGGAAACGCACAGGTGGGCCTCCTGCTCGTCTCGGGGAGTCCCCGGGGCGCTGGAGAGTCAGACACACAGCTCCTGGCTGTTCGCCGCAATCTGTTACTGGACAGAGAATCGGTTTCGCACTCGGGTTCGGCGGCTCATTGCTCAAAAATCGATACTCAGGAGACCCATCATGGGGGGAAAGGGAGGGTTGTGTTATTCAGGGAGCCGGCAACCCGGGAAGGTGGTAGACTGACGTCTCGAAGACCATCTTCCCTGTCCAGGCCAAGCCAGAGGGTTTTAAAGGGGAAGGCAGGGGAAGAGGGAGGGGGGCTGTGGGCAGGAGAAGCAGGTGTCCGGGCGGTGACTTGTACTCCGACACGCCCCTGAGCAGAACTGCTGGTGTCCGCGACAGCTGTTTTTGGTCAGCCTCATGCCTGGGAAAGTTCTGTCCTTCTCTCCTCGAGCCTGGTGGTCTGCAAGTTTCAGGGAAACTGAGTTCTGCCACAGACCAAGGGACTTAGGTCAGCAAGCGAGGAGCGCAGAAGCTTGAAGAAGCAAGTTGTCCCTTAAGGCCGGTCGGAGCGCTGTTACAGGAGCTTTTTCTGCTCAAGTTTTCTGTAAACCTGAAACCACTGCAAGAAATTCAGCCTATTAGTCCAAAGAAAAATGTATATAGCGTGATGCCTTAAAAAAAAAAAAAAAAAGAGTTTTGGGGGGGCATCCGGGTGGCTCAGTCAGTTAAGCCTCCGACTTCTGGCTCAGGTCATGATCTCACAGTTTATGAGTTTGAGACCTATTTCTGGCTCTGTGCCGACAGCTCAGAACCTGGAGCCTGCCTCCCATTCTGTGTCTCCCTCTCTCTCTGCCCCTCCCCCATTCGTTCTCTCTCCCTCTCTCTCTCTAATATCTCTCTCTCTCTCTCCGTCTCAAAAATAAATAAACATTAAAAAAAAAGACAGAACTGTAACTGTCTGTGTGTGTGTGTGTGTGTGTGTGTGATCTATGCCAAAGCCTTTATAGTGGACATTTTTGAGTTTTAGGGTCCCGGATGGTCTGTATGCTTCCTGATTTCTCTGACTTCTTTTCCATTTTATAATGTGCATATACTGCCGTGAAGCTCACAAGAGACTATAAAACAATTTTGTCAGCAACCAAAAAAGACGAAGCAGGAAACCACACATCAGTTTTTTAATTATGATTTATCCCAGGTGAGGTACGAGTGTGGGTTGAAGTGCAGGAGTTTAAGAACACAGTCTGAAGAAAGGTCTGACGTCCTTAAAGGACCAGAGGGTAGGTTTCCCGGTGGGAGGCGGGTTCGCTAGGCTAAGCCCCTCCCTTCCCAGGAAACGAAACTAACTGACTCAGACAGCGGGCGGGACGGAGGTTAGGAGCTTCAAGAAGCCAGCTCCAAGAAGTCAGCTCCACCGCCACAGGCTCTGCTGTGCCTGCCCTGAGTATCATGTTGGGGTGGAACCTCAAAGACATCCCTGCCGGGAATCTGGACAAGTTCATCGAAGACTATCTCTTACCAGACACACGTTTTCGCAGGCAGGTCAGACAAGCCGTCCACATCATCTCCACTTTCCTGAAGGAGAGGTGTTTCCAAGATGCGCCACACCCCGTGCGGGTGTCCAAAGTGGTCAAGGTGAGCCCAAGCCTGCTGGCCTGGGGAAGGGGTGGCTGGGTGGGCCAGAGTTCCCACAGAGACAGAGAGAGAGCAAAAGGTTCGGGTCTTCAGGGCAGGTGGTTTCTGACTTAGCCATAGCGAGCACATATGACCATAGCCTGTCAGAATAGGTTCTGGGGTGAGACCCTCCATCTGTGATTTTTTTAATGCTTATTTTTAAAAGAGCACAGCGCAGGAGGGGCAGAGAAGGGGAGGGGACAGAGGATCTGAGGCAGGCTCTGCGCTGACAGCCGTGAACCCGATGCGGGGCTCGAACCCATGAAGCCGTGAGATCGTGACCTAAGCCGAAGCCAAGAGTCAGGTGCTCAACTGCCTGAGCCACCCAGGCGCCCCCCTCCACCTGTAGCTTTTAAACAAATGCCCTGACTGAAGCTTAGGAACCCTCATCCTCGGCCGCGTCCATTTCAGAGATAGGGAAACTGAGGCCCAGCTCTAGTAAACAATTTGCTGATTAGTGGCCAGGCCGGGGACTCACCATTTCTGCATTGTTTGTTTGTTTTTTCCTGACAAAATGACTTCCAGAGCCCCTCTCCAGCCAACAACAGCTAAATGTTCCGATGACTTTGTGCGGCTGAAGAGTTGTTGGTATTGCCCCCTGTAAAGTGTACACTCTGCAAAAACAGAGCTGGACAGCGCTCTGGGGTCCATAAACGGGGTCCAGGCACCAGCTGTCTCCCCAGATGCTCAGCTTTTCAACGTCCGTGATAAACTAGTATTCTCTTTTTTTTTTAATTTTTTAAGTGTATTCTTTTTTTTTAAGTCTTTTTTTTTTTAACGTTTATTTATTTTTGAGACAGAGAGAGGCAGAGCATGAACGGGGGAGGGTCAGAGAGAGAG